AAGATAGGACACCACTGCTTACAGTGCAAACAGCTAGTAAGCTTTATCTCAGCTCCACTGATACTCTCACTTTCAGGAAGATCAACTGGCTTAATATGTCTTTTCACACCCATCACATTGTACAGTGTATTCCTATTACTAGCAAGGGCAGATAAAGTTTTTGAAGTCCAGTATCCACATGGATTAATAACAGAATATAACACGTTGCATAAACTGCTATAGAACAGCAAGGTTTACAACAACATTTGTAAAAACTATTAACAATTTATGTACTACAGGTATTCAACACTGCTTGAACAAAGATCAACTTCAAAGTTGGGAATATATACACCTTTAAGCTCATATATATCCTCATTCCTACACGATGACCTAGAAAACGATAACCTAGGAAACGACGACCTAGAAAACGATGACCTTGAAAACGACGACCTAGAAAACGACGACCTAGAAAAACGACGACCTAGAAGACCTAGAAAAACGACGACCTATAAAACGATGACCTAGAAAACGACGACCTAGAAAACGACGACCTAGAAAACGATGACCTTGAAAACGACGACCTAGAAAACGACAACCTAGAAAACGATGACCTAGAAAACGACGACGGGGATGGGGAAACTCGAAGGATTAAGAGGTTAGAGGGGTACAGAAGGCGGGAAATAAGAGGACGGTAGGAGGGAATTATGAACGGGTGAGAGGTGGGCGAAGAAGGAAAATTACAGAAAAATTGTAAATATTATTTGTAAGAAAACGGCTAAGGGTATGAAGCCAGGGAATAAAATGGTGGAAATGGAAATGCAAGGTACGCGACGTCTCCCTTCTGTTTCGTTTATCAAACAGGCGTTGCCTGTTATTGATAGATTTATTTGATGACAAGAATCGTGATTGACATTAATTCTATACATTGATTTAAAAGTATTAGGTTATCGTGTTTCAAACCAGTTTTTCAGTAGAATCGAAGTGAGAAAGAAAATAATTTAGTCTGTCTATAAATCCGATTACCTGAAGAATCTGTTAAAAGAATTTGCTAACCTGTAAAGTGCGACTGTTGTAACGACCCGCCACAGAAGTAAGTTTACATTGAAGTTTTCTGAATTTAGCTACGAGATTAAGACGATTTGTGTTTGTTCTGATTGCGAATTATAAATGTGTTTCTTTTAGATCGAATAATTATTAAAGCTTGGCTTGATATTATGCGGTTTGCGGTGGTCATTTGAGCTAACCAGTTCCTAAGGAAACACCTTTCCCCTCTAGAACTGGCTAGGATGGTGGCCAATTAAGTCTTTACTGATTAAAGGTATATCGGGCTATTCTTCATGAGCGATCCCGGAGTGTGTTAATAAAAAGAGGTTTGGGGGTACGAAGTATTTCTAAAAGTCAAATTTGGGAAATTTTCACGCTTAGGCGGAGATGCTCGATTGATTTATAATGGTAATTGAACTGAGTGGAGCGAAATTTGGTCTCCGCAAATCATACGCGTAATTTCAAAATCAAACGAGCGCACAGCGTGAGTTCGATTTGAAATCACAAGTATGATTTCAGACCAAAATTGCTCGACACGAAGTTCAATTACTACTTTATTACAGCCATTTTAAAATCACAGAATTCAGTCAGTACGAATACGGTATTTTATTGATCAAGAAGCCGGTTTGTTAAAAAGCCGAAACAAAAGGGCTTTTACATCTCATTTTGTATTCGAAACAGAAATGATGCGATATGGAACAAAAATGGTGCGATTTAAAACAGAAATGATGCGATTTAGAACATGACTGATGCGATTTAGAGCAAAAAATGGTGCGATTTAGGAATAAATGCTGATAGCCAATCAGATTGCACGGATAGCCAGTGATTTCAAAGTGGATGTAATAAATTGATTAACGTAAACCTTCGTTACATGTACGCCGCGAGATAGTGGTGCAGGAAGACCTACATCTATTGTTCTTGCGTTATTTTCATAACGCGGTTTATAAAACCGTCTCTCGCAAACAGCGGTTACAGAGTGCCTAGTGTGGTCGCAGGAGCTATTGTTTTGTTTCGGAAATTGCATTGTGCATTGCGTGAAAGTGATGGAAGAATTAAAGATAAACCGAAGTGAAATTTTTAATTTTTCTCTGCGGCGTTGTCTCTTTCACAGGATGTAATATTTTATTTGTGAACAATTCAAAAGTTTGCGTTCTACCGGATATCTCACTGCATATATCCTACGCTATCGGACCTGTGAGGAAACAGAAACTCCCTCACAGTTCAAATCTTATGACACGTCAACCTTCATTGTGTCCTACACAACATTTCACAATTCTCGTTACCGGTATCCTGCCGTTTCATGCATGGAAAGGTAGGAGAAAATGATGAAGCACTTTTTACTTTTTTTTCAAAATATAAACTGTTCGTTTACGGTATTGAGTTGTGAAAAACAGCACGCCCGATTTATTTCCTGTTTGATTTATGTGGGTTTAAACTTTCCGCCATAAACGACGCGCCAGATTTGATGGAAATTTGTTTAAATTGATATCAGGATAATAAATAGGTCAAAGCAAAGCTCTTGCTTCCAGTAGTCAGTCAGGTTGAATCATGACTTCATTGAACATACTAAAGGAAAATTTGACTTGAGAAACTTTTTTAGTGGAGCTCTCACGCGCGCGCCCAATTGGTAACAAATTTGGTTACCTTTGCATGGGCGCCATTCCATTCAATCAAAACGTCTGGTTTCAATTTTCGGCCACTTCCAGTACCGAATGGAACTTTGTTCCCGAATGTCTAAAATTTCTGGTTGAATGGTTCGCATTTCGGAAAAGTTTCCGAAGTCTGGGACCTTTTCCGGGAAAATACTTTACCAATTGCCGTTGTTTCCAAAGTTTCTTAAGTTTTGGTTGAATGGAAAGTGCCCAAAATGCATCCAAGAAATTTTGGTTCTGAGAGAATCGTCTGCACGTATTACGTACGATGTGCAAAAGTATGTGCTGCACGTGCAAATTAGACGTACAAACCTTAGCATTACTTATAACTAGCGGCTAGGAGCGACTTGCGTGGGTGTTTGGCGCGTTTGATAACACTGAGATTTGCTATGAATATGAGAGTTGTAAAACGATATTTTTGGGGTACAAGTTAATACCAAAATGAAAATACCTTTATCGAATAAGGAACGTTAATGAATCATCAAGCACTGCTCTTCTAAAACATTTTATCACTGAGTAGAGTGTTTTGAATTGTCATATAAATACGTTCTACTGGAATGTACTGGGCTTACAAAAGCTATTTGTTTTTCGTTAATAAGGTTTGGTCTTTCTCTGTAAAGATGCTCTTTTGGACGTCGGTTTCTCTTTGCACACGTGCCGCTATTCAATTAAGAAATGATGCTTTTTGTTTAAACTGAACCCACACAGAGGTTCTTAATCTAATTAGTTCTGGTAAATTTGACGACATTTGTTTGTTATCTTACATTAATTGGCTTAATTGGTTTTTCTTAAATCTTCAGAAGTTTGACCTTGCCAAGATGTCTTTTCCTAGACATTCCTATTTTTACTATCTCTCGCGTATTTAGTGCTTTGATCGAAACTTCCGTGCGCTTCCAAAAGAAAACCTTGTCCAACAGACTATCTTGGTTAACTCGTTGTGATAAACAAGCTTTTGTTACTACCTAGTTCAATTTACTTGCTAAAAGTAGTAACGAGTGATATCTTTGTTTAAAGGCTTTCGCAATGTAAATATCTTGCTAATTGATTTTTGATTAGGGATTTGTAAACAATCTTTTAGTTAATATATAGAAAAAGGCGGGACTAATTACCATTGTACGATATTCCAACAAGAAGCTTTCAAACGACAACTTAAGCACTGTACATGAATTGACAAATTGTACATTTTGGAGTAACGATATTGTACATATGTGATTTTCATTCATGTAAACATTCCTTGTAATTTTTGTGTCTCTCTGACTGTTTTGTTTTGACTGGACAATTGTTGGACAAAAGTGAATTTTGGAGTTTTAACTGATTTTCCTATTACGACACAACCTCGAAGGAAAATATGTTAATAATTCTTATAGCCAATCGAATTTTTACTGATGTAAGATTACTTTAAGTTTGAGTAAGATTGGCAGCCTTCAGATTCAGTCAGGATAAAAGGAGCTGTATCTAGGTCTTGTCAGAGAGATACTGCTAGCCTTGATTGTGAAAAGTTGAGCAACAAGTGACCTACATTAAAACAGTTTAAAGAGACGTAAAGTTTGAGTTCATTGTAGAGGATTACTGTTCCCCCAAGTTTCCTACTACAGAATGAACGAACAGGGACAGGGCCTACAAGTTTACGCGGTTCAGCTCTAACCAAACATCTCTTCAAGTGTCTCCCTTTTCCCTTATAAAGGTCCTCTGCTCACGTTTTTTTTCAATTTTTTTTGTTTGACTGTTATTTATCAAAATTGGTTTACTAGGTCGTCGTTTTCTGGGTCATTGTTTTCTAGGTCTTCGTTTTCTAGACACCCCGCCGAGTATCGTGCATGTACTGCGTCACAATATACACAATTACATGAAAAACACTACGCGCAATACAAAAACAAGTATATTAACAGTCACTCTGCTAAACAAAATTGAAAGAATAAAAAGAATTGTTACGGCTATCACAGTAGTTCCCAAAGAAGCCTGAGTCTCTTTTGGTTTCAATTGTTGACAATCTTCTCTTCCTTCATCGGAAGATATTTTTATCACAGGCAACTCCTTGTGTTCCGCATTGTGAAAATCAAAATCACTTTTGTCACACTGATTACCAGCTACACAAATCTTGCGACTCTCAAACTTGATACACATTCTTCTCTTCAAACTTGATACACATTATTCGCTTCAAACTCTTATCGATTTTACACGTACACTACTGACATTCCGATTTGTAATTCCGTCTATGAGGTCCATGGTCTTTGAATGTCTTGACAATTTCCTTTGTTTTTCTTTGAGTTCGCGGACCAGCCCATTATGATAACACTCAGTGTTATTTTAGTGTGGGCCTACCGCGAACAGTGTGTGCATTTGTAAGTTTAACCCTCGATAACATACTTAAACAATACGTTCCTCAAAACACCGTCGCCGAATTTTATCCAACCTGCTTCTTACTGCTGCTTTGAAAAATTTCGGATCAAATGATATCATTGGATTACTACCATCCTAGTAGTGCGACGAATTCTGCGCGTAGTTTCACATTTCAACCTGTCAGTTTTGGCCAATGAAACGTCTTCGGCGAGTCTCCGTCGTGAAATTGACAACATTTTTGGCGTCGCACGAAGATGTTTTGATCACGTGCTGTCTAAGTTTTCAGGTTTTTCGTGGGAGCGAACCGGGGTATTCTATTTTTATAGTCTGCATGTGTCAATATGGTGATGCAAATTCAAGTTCAAATTAAAGATACTAGAAGAGTTTCTTTTTGCGAATCCGACTGGGAGTGTTGAGCATTTTAAAAACTACACTTTGCGTGAGATTCCGAAGACAGGTTTTATAGATTTTGGTTTACTTTACGAAAACGATAAAGGAGGATCTGTAACGTTGAATGACGTTCGCATGGCAGACATTCGCCTCGCTTAGCTTGTTTACGTTAGCACGTATTGCGTGTCTGTTGCACTTTTGCGTCAAAACAAGCCGTTTCCATTACTCTACTTGGGCCGCGCCCAAATAATTAGTACATGTACGTCTACCAGTAATAATTAAGAAAGGAATTGAAGTTCACAAGGGCTGCCGGGACGAGATTCTGCTGTGAAATGTTTTTAAGTATAAAGCATGGTCATTGATCCTCTGTTTAAATATGACCAGAAAAGAAAAGCCTTGACACCAATAACTTAACTTTTCTTGTTTGTATCACTTTTCAGGTAAAAAAAATGTTTTTGTTGGCTTGCCTGTATGAATATATATATAAAAATGTTGAATAATAATTAATTTGTCTGCCCCCCTAAAAATAAAAATGTCCCCCAAAATTTTAGCCAAGGGGACTTTTTGTCCCCCACTGATCAAATCTTAGCTCAAACCCTGTGTCTATGATGTTTTTCTGAGAGCCCCTCACCCAGATAATACAGACAATATGGCATGTCCCCTGGCCTTCATGTCTGTATTTATACGGATTCACTACTCAAGTAAAACCAGGTAAAATCCCTGGTCTCTGGTCTTTGAAACAACCCTGCTATGAAAGACAATATAAAGGCATAGAATCCTAACCTTCTTGTCTCGCTACAATTCCTCCAGATGGTTTAAGTGTAGAAGGCAGAGGGGTGGATGGCCCTGGTGAGGAGGTCGGAAGTTTAGAGGTGTTTGAAACAGTTGGGCTCGGTGTTGGTGCTTTTGAAGACTTCACCACAGACCCATTGGGTCGAGTAGTTTTACTTGGAGTGGAACCTGGTACCTTGGAAAGTGCCTGTGTGATTTTTGTGGAGGGTGTGGGTTGACCAGTAAACGGTTGCCCTGTACATGAAACACCATCAGCAGACATGTTCATGCCATTTGGACAGCGGCATTTATGAGTCCTTTGACCAACAATGCTTAAAAGGCAGAGGTGGCTGCATCCGCCATTGTTTACTTTGCAAGGGTTGGTGGCTAAATTACATGAGAAAAACAAAAGACAATTTTTGTTACATTATAGTCACACAAATAATATCTTTGATTGGTAATGGTGTATTGTTTCAATTCAAATTACTTCTGCCTTAGCCTCTCGTAGAATGAAATGGGATTCCCCACCTGCCACAACATATCACTCTCCCGCTAAAGAAACGATAAATACCGCTGGAGAAACAAATATTGCAAAGATTCTTTCACAATCCACAATCCTGTGACTAAAATTCGGATTGCTTGAGATCATGTCAATATATCCCAGACAGTACAGAAATATGAAATTTTCAGTGAAAATGACAACAATTTCAACGCACAATGTGAAATCCACAGTTAATGTTCAGTACCTGCACTTGGTTAAAATGAAGTTCCAACAGGCACAACAGATTAGATGTGACAATAATTCTACCCCTGGTATCCATTAGCCTCTCATTAAGCTAAAAAAATCATTGCTGCATAAGATAACCTCACCAGCACAGTTACACACTCAAGGGTACTACGTGTGTACTGACCATCACCTAAAGTAGTAAATTTTAAAGACTACACACTCTCACCAAGTGCACGATCTTGCTTGATTATTTTTGCACAAAAACGGTTTTCAAGAGCAATTTCAAATTATTCACAAACTGGAGCAGGCACTACTTATAAACTTGACCTTATATTCTAGCTAAAGGTCTTATGCACATCTAGCTAATGAGTAGCTTACCATTTGGCTGACGGAGAGGATGGTACACTTGAATATCCATGTGTGACCAAAGAAGACGTCTGATCCGCTTTTGATTCCTTCCAGTGAATTTGTTTAGCTTCCTTATCCCCCTGCCATATTTGTACCAGTCAGTGTAGTAAACAAAATTTTCAAACACCGTCAGACCAAAAGGGTGTTGCGGTAAAATGCTGGCAATACGGCGACGATCCGAACCATCATAAAGGCTGGATTCAATTTTCTTTAACCTGTAAAGAAATAAACCCCCTGGAATATTATGGTAAATGAAGTTATTATAACCTTAGTCTTTTGTTGTTCTAATACATCGCAAAACACCATTAACTTGATAAAAATAAAAGAAAATGAATTATTGCTAAAAAATTATGAAAATAGCCAGCCCACAATGGCATGACCTACATGCTGAACAACTGGTCTCGCTTGCATAGCAGCAAGACTCAGAATCGGCAGGGCGTTTGTGTTCTTCATATTTAGTCCACAAAAGGCGGAGGGTCATGGTCCCAGGCGTTCCTAGCGGCGAGTGTGGAAACTGAGGATAAGAATCGAAACGTGACCGGAGCCACAAAAATGTTTTGTAAAGAAAGCTTAAGAAAGATTAATGCAAAATATTTAGAGCTTTTCCGGAGAGGTTCAGTCCACAAATTCTGCTGCTTGAAAGTGTTGATCACTTTGGAACAATTGAATTAACTTTTGATCAGTGGTCGCAAAAAGAAGAATCTTAATGAGCAAAACTTTGATGGTGAGGCTAACTGGTCGGGTATTGTAAACTTTCATTGTATGCAAATAGGTCTTGTAATGAGCATGTGGTTTATTTTTGGCGATGAGTGAAATGACGCGCCATGTTCATCATGTTTTTGCTCTCTGGCAATGATGTAATTTCTCTCGAATCAAGGCCATTAATTTTTGTGTATTCATACACAGATACTCAATCAATTCAGAGAGAAATCATCAAATCCAATATAGAAAGTAAATATTCCGAAGAATACTCGACCATCAATAAAGTAAGACGTACAAAAATGTTAGCGAGGAAATCCTGCTTCGTGTAGAACTGATTACCTCCTCATTACTTGTCTATAATCTCCAAGCAGGTGAGACTTATTAAAACCTTTTAGACTGAGCGTCCCTTGTTGTTCATTAGCTACAAAGACAGCAATAATTAATGACAAGAAGGCGCTTACAGCAGCGGCCAGTCTCGCTTGCTTGGAGATTAGATCGACAAATGAGAAGGCGATTAATTCTACACGAAACAGGATTTACTCGCTAAAGGTTTTTTTAGTCTCGCTTGCGTGAGCAGCGAGACTCATAATCTGCAACGTGTTTTTCGCCCCAGGGGGGTTAGTCCCTTATATAGGCTATATAGGTATGTGCCGCGCCAAAGGTTATGTTTTTTAGCCGCTTTGGTCTGAAATAGGGTATCAATTTCGACCATTTGGGTCTGAAATAGGGTATGGTTTGTGCACTCTAGTCTTGAATTGGGTATGCTTTTTAGAAGAATTAGCTACTTGTTCATCTCCCTTCCCTTTTAATGTTTACGGGGCGTAACAGCTTGTCACGCGCTCCGGTCACCCGCCGGGCTCATGGGCCAGTTGTTCGAAGGCCGATTAGCGCTTAACCCGGGGTTAAATTTAACCCAGGTTCCTTTTTCTTGTGTTCAAAAGCATTTTCTCGGATAATTTTCTGTGCTATTTTTAGAGCTTCCAATCATCAATTTGTAGACAAAAAGATTTAAAACTGAAAAGCTTTCATATCTGAGTTCAAATATCGCACTAACCCTGGGTTATCTTAACCCAGCTTTGAACAACTCGGCCCAGGGCTTCAGGTCTCAAATAGGGTGTCAAATTTTTGATCAGGTCTAATTTAGAGCTTTTCTGAAACGTGGCGGTCCACGAATTCTTGAAAGCGTTGATTACTTTGGAACAAGTGAACACTACTGAGTGGTCGAAAAAAAATAAGAATCTTAATTAGCAAAATTGCGATGGTCGGGTATTGTAACCTTCACTGCAAGCATACGGGTCTTGTCATGAGCATGCGATTTATTTTCGGCGATGATTGAAATGACGTGCCATGTAAATCACTTTTTTGATATCTGGCAATGATGTAATTTCTCTGGAATCGAGGCCCTTGAATTTTCGTGTATTTATTCAAGCGTATAGCCTGCTACCGCAGAGGTATTTCTGGCCGTCGCTAACACGCGTACTAAATCAATTCAGAAACAAATAAAAAGTATCGACGTCAATAAAGTAGGAAGTAAAATTTTCTCGCCCCCTTCCCCCTAGAGCTATAATAGCCGACGCCCGCCTCCTCGGTACACCTGAAAATCAAGATGGTCGCCATTAACGTAGCCTGCGCGCAGACGAAATTAAACTCTGGTTAACTCCGTCTGCGAAACAGCGCCGAAATCCTTGTTCTGGACTTCCAGCTGTGTACCCAGATTTGAGTACGCGCCACGATTGGCCAGTTAAAAAAGGCTTTGTTTTGTTTGTCGTGATCGCCAATCAAGTTGAAGGGGAATTCGAAACGCACTTCCGGTAATTCGTTGAGTCCATTGGGGGCCCAGAACAAAGATCTCTGCGATGCTTCGCAGACGGTACTAATCAGAGTTTAGTTACCGTCTGCACGCAGGCTACCATTAACGGTAAGACGCGCTCGATCTCGACGATCACACGGAAAAATGGGGGACTGTTAACAGTCTACAAACTACCATAAGATAAAATTTTAAAATAGCTCTCTAGAGAGAGCACGTGTTCACAGTTTCTATTTTTTGTTGTCTGTTTTGTACTAAACTTGCGATTTTATTGGCTTGCTATGTCATAAAAGACTGAAACGTAACCTGTCTCGCTTGCTTGGAGATTAGATCAAGAAATGAGGAGACGATTACTAATTCTACACGAAACAGGATTTACTCGCCAAAGGTTTTTTTAGTCACTACTTTATCGACGTCGATACTTTTTACTTGTTTGTGAACTGATTTAGTACGCGTGTTAGCGACGACCGGAAATACGTCTCCGGTCGCAAGCTATATGCGTGTACAAATGCACGAAAATTCAGGGGCCTCGATTCCAGAGAAAGTACATCATTGCCAAAAAAGTGATTTACATGACACGTCATGTCAATCATCGCCGAAAATAAATCGCATGCACATCACAAGACCCATTTGCATGCAATGAAAGTTTACAAAACCCGACCATCGCAGTTTTGCTAATTAAGAAGACCACTCAGTATTAGTATTGTTCACTTGTTCCAAAGTAATCGATGATTTCAAGCGATAGAATTCGTGGATCGACACGTTTTGGAAAAGCTTTAAATTCAATCTTTCCTAATTTTTCTTCGCAAAACATGCGTGGCTTCGATCACGCAACGATTCCTAGTCCCAGTTTCCACGGACTCCGCAAGGAACGCCTGGCACAATGACTCCCAATTTGTATACAGCTATTTCGAGAAAGGTTGTCGGAAAAAAAGTGCACGCGACAATCCCGAAAGGCAATATGGGATATGATCAATACACTGTTTCTGACACTGTAGCTGTCGCACCTACTTTTGCTGCTTCGCTTTAGCACTCGGAAACATAGTCCATGGCCTCTCGTGCCATTCTTTTAAAATTTCTATGAAGAACAGTGATCTCAAAACCACCCACAATACCTCTCGGGATTGTCGCGTGCACTTTTTCCGACAACCTTTTTCGAAATAGCTGTATAAAAAACGACGAAAACCCCCGCTCGACATCTTTTAGTGTGGGTCTACCACGAATAGTGTGTGGATTTGTAAGCGACATCACCATATAATCCATTCATCTTTCCAAATTTTTCTTCTTAAAACATAACATTCTGACAATTGTACGTTGTTTTTCGAAGCGTGCAGATGAGAGCATCGTGTCGTTTTTCATCCCCAGATTCTGGGCTTACCATCACCCGCAAAACGTGTTTACAAAACTATTCGTTCGTCACGTTCAGCTGTCGGCTTGCTATGCCATATGAAACGTAAACCTGTTTTGTCGAAAAAGATAAAGTGTGATTTCTTGCATGGAAGAAAAAATTTTGTCATGGCACTAAAATGTGATAAACATTTCGCGTTATTCCAGTCATCGCCGAAAATAAACCGCTTGCTCATCACGAGACTCATTTGCATACAATAAAAGTCGTCACGATTCTTATCCCCAGTTTCCACGGTCTCCTCTAGGAACGCGTGGCCTACAAACTAGGTCCCACCGACAAAAACAAAAAGAAAAAAAAGAAATGCCTGCATTTTTAGAGTCTCGCTCTGCTAAAGCAAGCTCGACTCATAACTTTGTATCATGGTTGTCAATTTCAGGTGATACAAGACTAGTATTCAATTCCATGTCGTTCCATGCCTAAAATGTGAATCATAACACACTTGTCTAACGATTTTTTCCAAGGTTTCTTTTTCCTCTTTTAATGTTGCATGTTCTTGTCTCCGATACTTGTTAAAAAATCAATATTCACATTTTAAGTCAAAACTGCATCACTATATTGCTGCCCTAGAATTAGTGCTATGATATTTAATTTTCAGAATCAAAAAAGAGAAAGGAAAAGAATCGTTTTGTTCCACAGTATTTCAGCTGAACAATAACATTGATGTTAAAAAACGTTTAAAATTTCATCATTGACAATTCAATGCAATACTAATAAATTATGTTAACAGTGACATAGAAATGGAAGTCTTTGTACCTAGCATCAGCCCAATATAATCTTTGAAGAGTATAATCAACAGTCAGGCCATTTGGCCACCCAATCTGTCCAGAGATGATCACTTGTCTTGTTGTTGGGTCTCCATCCATGCCTGACCTTTCAATCCTTGGGTTATCACCCCAATCCGTCCAAAAGAGATAGCTAATCAAAAAACAAAAATCAATATAAAAATAACACACCGATAGAAAATGCCCATCAGCGTGACTTTTGACCACTTATGCACCTGCATTTTCTTAACACAGAAACCGCCAGGCAGTCGAAACAGGAAATAGTTATTTGGGACAACCTGTACTCCTTTTTATTTTTGTAAATACATGTTCTCTAATCAAATATATTGTAATACTGCTGGCTACAAATAAAGTTGTTGTTGTTGTTTTTGTTTGAAAGCAGAGGATTGGAGACTTCCATATGTCGGGTGTTTGGTGGACTGTTCTGATTGGTCGACTTTACAATGGGAGTTAAAAGCATTCAGTCAAGACTTTTTATTTTCCACAAGGCTTTGTGATAAGATTTTAAGTACAATTTTCTTTTTTACATTTTTTCACTATCCCAATTCTTAAATCTTGGGGTTGATTTCCAGTGTCGCATAATTTTTACGTGCGCACGTACGTAAAATTTATGTTCACAAATAAAATAGAGGCAATGCATGAAAGGTCGCTCGTAAGCGTAAAAGTTGAACCTTGCTCAACTTCTCCTTTAAGCTTATTTAGCACTTTTTATCTTACCTCTATTTTATTTATGTGATTAAAATTACGTGCGTTAATAACATGTGTAGCCAAAAACGCATCAGTGGAAATCACCCTTAAGCCAGTAATTTTTATTATCAATTTGTATTTTTTTGTTATCAATTTCGTGAAAAAGTGTTTCTCCTGCTACTAGCATTCTTAATGAAAACCCTGCTTGAACACTTACTTTTATCTCCACATACAGCCGGTTAAAGTCTCTCTGTCTCTCATTCTTAGGATATTTTATTCTTGTAATTACCAAAGATATGAGCTACTCCCCACACACGTACACACATCAGAATAGAAACTCTATGTAACTATTGCTTCTTAATACACACCCATAAAGAGGATCAACTGCAATGGCCCGTGGATCATCAAGATCAGTACTGAAGAGCGTAAGACGGTTAGAGCCATCAAATTCTGCCACTTCGATCATGTTGTATCCTCCATCACTCCAGTAGATTTTTTTGCCCACCCAGTCAACACAAATACCATCAGGAGTATGAACATCAGACACAACTTCATTACAAACAGCTGCAAAACAATTATGTACGCAATAATTTATTCATTTGGTGCCGTATAGAACAACATTGAATCAAACCTCGGCCTAAAAGTAATCCTTCATGCAAGCAAGTCCCTAATGAATAAATCAGTGTTCGTACTCTTTTGTGCTCTCCAAATTCCATGACTATTTCGGAATCCATGAATTTTTCAAGTTTTCCTTGACCTTAGGTTAAGCTGTCGCTTTCAAAACTTTCCTTGTTTTAGCATATTTTTTACCCGAGGCAGTTTTTTTACCCGAGGCCGTTTGATTTCTCGTCTTGATCTTAAGTTGTCCTTAGTTTGACATCTGCAGTAGCTTATCTATCAAACAAATCTTAAATTTTCCATGACTTTCCAGGACCGACAATTAAATTATGTGACACCGTTAGCCCAGCTAACAGTAGCCAGCATGCACCTCATTTCAGTCTGACTACAATGCACCAAGAATCTCTGATCTGCACTTGTGAGCTCAGAACTTTAGAGCGCTCAAATTGTGAGTGATATGTCATGGGTTGAACAGAGTCGTTATCAACTTATGGTCAAAAAATATTTCTTGCTTCCCACTTTGAAAGAAGTTGCAAATGTATGGCCCCCAACCCTGCTGAAATTCTTGGATATTATCTGCAACCACACAGGCTAGGTTTCATAACTTCATAATTGTTTCCACAAAAAACGTTTAGACTATTAATTAATAGTGGTATACAGTTCTTCTAGCATTACACGCAGTTATCCATTTTGATTAAACCACACATCTGAAGCAAAAAAGTACAGAAGCTCAAATATTATTGTATAATGATGATAGTCAGAATACCTGTATTATTATCTGACGTAGCAATGGGTGCACGGCAAATCTTCTCATCTCTTACATCTGTCCAATACACGTAATTGCCATAGTAGTCATAGTCAAGTGATACAATTCCTTTTTGATTTTTAACAATGTCGTAATACTCATTGACATTGGAGCCCCCAATTGAAAGCTTACGAATGCTACGCTGGGTTGAAAACAACACGTATGGTGTATGTCCTATGTTCAAAAGATATATGAAAACAAAGTAATGAGTGAATTATGTAAACCATGACCAATCATTTAAAACAAAATTGTAGACAATGGACCATATACTTGATGCTCCGACCTCTTTCATGGGAGAGCCCATGACAATATTATTACTTTTGCCTTTGGGAGACCACGAAATCTCATTGTTCAGTCTGTGCTTAACCTATATGCTAGCCAACATCATAGAATTCACAGATTGAGAGGTTTTGGGCTCTCTGTGATTGTGATTGTGCTAATTGACAGAAAAATGTTTGCTATAAATCTCAAAACTGAAAGTAACAATTTTGGAGCTGTGCACTCTGTTCTTAAATGTGAATATTAAACGTACGTCAAAGAGGGATGGAAAAATTTTAAAGCAATTGCTTGTGAACAAGTTACTCTTAAATAGAATGAAATTCATTAAGTCCTTCTTCATATAACAATTTGCTTTATTAATTTCCGTAATATACCGTATTTATTCGAATAAGCGCCCAACCTCAAATTGGCGCCCACCTCGAATAAGCGCCCATCCTAAAGGCAGAAAAAGTTAATAAGTGCCCAGCCTCGAATAAGCGCCCATCCCACCACACCTCCCTCCCACTCCCACTCAAACTCAAATTAGCGACCACCCCTAAAATTGAGTAAGTACTAATAAGAGACTTCCCCGAAGACGGAGTTTTCTTCAAAGTATTTTACAGGAACCTTGCTTTGTTACATCTTCGTGTTCTGTTATTACCATTTATTGTTTTGTTGGAAAATACACATACTACACTTGCTGAAAATGTTGAAAATTTAATAAGCGCCCAGCCTCGAATAAGCGCCCACCTCGAATAAGCGCCCACTCTCAAGGTCCAAAAATTTAATAAGCGCCCAGGGCGGTTAATCGAATAAATACGGTATATTGTAGTGGGTTTTTTTGGAAGATTTTACTGCTGTTCAGGTGGTTCACATGCATTTCATCCAATTGACCTTTTGCAATAATTTTATAATTATAACAATATAATAATATAACAAACAAACTGCCTTCGATTGGAAATTATGACAACTCACTCATTATGCTACGTACTACAACACTTGTACAGGATGTAATGGCCCTCGTCGCAATTGCTTTTTAATTCTCAATAGGAAAGATGCTACTGAGCATTATAACCTCTTATATCTTATCATCGTCATTTACATAGTTCTAAATGAAAGATCAGTTCTAGATATTTAAATATTAATACATTATAACATAACCTTACCAAGTGCCCTACATGTAGTTTTGTCAGCATCCAAGTGATAACCAGGCTTACAAGAACACTGAAAGGTCCCCTTTAAATTAGTACATATCTGACTGCATTTGCCATACTCCTGGCATTCATCAATATCTGAATGATTCACAAATATCAAAGTTAGTCTTACTCACGAGGGTGAATAATGTTTTTAAAGGCAAAAACATGTTGTAGATTGATAGTGCAGTTATGCTAGTTATTATCATTGATCATAACAACTTTAAATAATTTATTATGATGCATTACGGCTGATAATCAAAAGAATACCAGGTTTAAATACCACACAAGATAAGTGTGCCGCCTAATACTGAGATCTGGCATTGATAGAAAATCTCAACCAAAAAAGTTATGGTAACAAATAATAAAAGGTTTGTAGCAAAATGGTTTTATGGAAAACTTAATGTTGTAAACATACTGTACGGTTAAGTGACCATTATTACCATCACAAGATCTTTGGTCTTCTGCCAGTTGGTAGCCAGAGTGGCAAGAACATTTGTAGCCAAACCTCAGATCAGTACAAATATGCTGACAATGACCATTATGATCCATGCATTCATTTATTCCTTAACAAAAGGAAAGGAAAAAAAGCCCAAGAATTAATTGGCGAGTTCCCTCTTACTAATGTTTCCAATATCATTCACAGCAACCAGAGCATCTAATTTCCCTACTCTGGGTAATTATTATAAAAACATTACTATTCATTCAAAAGATTTTCCCGATTCTGACTGCCTAAAACCACATGCATAATTCACCATAACCAGCTACTAATGACCAAATTTGGAAGAATTTTGCATTCAATGAACCGATAATGTCAAAAGTGCAGCCTTCTTGCACGTTAATGCACCGTTGACCAAGAAGGCCTGGGCATGAGGTTGAGTTGTTTTGGTTGTGAAAACAAAAATGGCGAACATTTCACTCATTTCAAGACTAAGAACCAGGCGAAATAATAGCTAAAAACATGGCAAGAACAGCAAGAAGACAATTCGAAGGGCAACATCTGGTATTTGGAGAATGTTTACAGAGCTGAACATGTAGTTACTAAAACATATGGAACGACCTAAAACCACCTAAAACCACCTAAAACCACCTCCAAAAATTCAACAACCACCTACAACCATCTAAAACCACCTCAAAAACATCTACAACCACTCGCAAACAATCTAAAACCATCTAAAACAAGGTATAAATGTCTGAAATAGTTTCACACAAATGTATGTTGAGTCTCGTAGAATCCTTTAGTCTAGTGTGAACGTGTCTCACTTGTAGAGCCTGATTTTATACAGCTATTAACCCGTTTACAGTTGCAAGAATTAGAAAACATTATATAATGATATTTGATAATTCTTTTCAGCAAAATGAATCAAAACGTTCTTACCAGTAACGTCCCTTGGCGGGGAGGGAAGACCCGAATATGTGATCCAAATTTTTCGTTCCGTTTTAGCTCGTAAAGTTCCAGCTACTCTAGCCTGTGCCAGGCTCTCAGATAGTATAGTGGGGACGTATTTACAACGAGCAAAGCGAAAATAAGAAGCGCGCATATCCCATCACTCCCAAGAAGAGAGCCGGGGTGAAAGTTGGGTTCCAAAACATAATAAAGGTATATAAAAATCCAGGTAAATTACTTTAAATACAATCATTCACTATTAAAATTTTTCAACCCATTTTTATTAATTTCGGCTCGTCTTAACTTGTTTTCTTCTGAATCCATTGCATTATAGATTTTTTTAAATAACATTTTTAACAATGATTACACCTACTAGTCTCCGTTTCCCGTGTCGTGACGCAAGGGAGTTTAGCCTTGCGTGATGACACAGGAAACGGGTGTGAAAGACACTAGGGTTCATCTAAAGGAGTCACTTGGAATGTAAAAACATGTTTGGCGGATGAGATGCTAAAAAAATTAACTTGTTCTTAGGAATGTAATCCGCCACCTTAGAACAAAACAGCAGTGAAGCAGACTCCGAGAGAGAGGGAAACCCTACCTTGTGCCATTGCGTAAACAAATGAAACGTGAACGAAAACGTCTCACTGGTTATCGGCAATTTTTTAACTTGCACCGATGGCCACAAGGGTGGATTTAAAATGTGACGTTTGTTTTCTAGCATGGAAACGAGGCTGGGACTTAAAGTACCTGAAAACAATCTTTAATTTCAACAGATCTATTACTGATAATGATGTATCTGACTTGAAAACGTATCTGTCAAGCAATTAATATGGTCACGTGATCACAATAGCATGGAAACGAAGCTGGACGTTAAAATGTCGCACAACTTATTTGGAAGCTAGTGGAAACTTACGCGATTTCCGCAAATCTACAAAATATGTAATTTTGACGTTATCAGGCCTTGCGAACAGCTCTGAATAGACTTATTGGTTATGTGGTACAATTCAGAAGATACATGTGACACTAAATATAATCACAGGTACCCCAAGCTCACGAGTGAGAATAACAGAAATATTATAAGGGTTTGGGTATTTTAGCGATCGTTATTTAGGGGTCAAAAATAGCAAGAAAAAGACATCAGAACATCTTTTTTGTCTCCTGGTATAAATTTTGGTACGTTCTTAGCATTTTTGGCTGTTTTAGCACCATTCCAGCGAGTTTTAGGTCTGCCATTGGTCTCTTCGGTACTAGGGTTCTGCATTCATCACTAACGGAAACGAAATCGAGTCGAAAGAAGTCCAGTTTCCCGGCCGAAGTGGCCCTGATAAAATCAGTGGGGGCAGCTAGCGCAGTCGCCCCCGATACCTCGCTTTGTACCACAGGAACACCAAGATTAGGATGCGTTCTGAGGAAAGCGATTGATTAATTACTTAAGCTTGGTTACTTGCTCGAGCAGAGTTCTTGCATTTTAACCTCAGGAAATCAGCCGTAACTTCACTCCAAATACTTCAATCGCCTCCAAATTTAACCCAGGGCAGCTTATAATCCTCTAACTACTGCTTCCCTCCATTGCAATTGGACCAATGTGATAACAGGATGCAAATTTCAGCTCGCAAACCGGTAACTCATGATAACTAAGGACTCTTTTCCATCGAGGGCCGTCGATGATGCTTTGCCACAAAGTTCCTCGCATGGCCGTTAGAAATCTGACCTTAACGATCCTGTCCTTGCGGTTCAAGTTACCTGTACACAATGTTCATTATATGCCAGACCTTTGCTGGCAGGTAAATTAGAATATGAGCTAATATGAAATATCAACAAGTCCACAGCGACAAACCATTGATTGGCCTGACCTCCCAGTTGTAGACTAGATCAGTATAGTAACTTGTAGAAAATATAAATCGGCAAACTGATCCTTATGGCAAGGTGATGAAGAAGTAAACAAGAAAATAAAACAAAAAATATATATTTAAACCAGTTTGCCCAATATTTCGGTTTGAAAAACAAACGTTATTTAGGTCCTGGCCCTTCTTTTAGTCCCCGAAGAAGGTTTGCCTTTCAAACCGAAATATTCGACAAATTTGCTTAAATATATATATATATTTTTTGTTTATTCTTTTTTTTTTTTACTCCTTTGTCCCCCTGCCGTAAGGATCAGTTTGCTGTTTTGTACTTTCTACAGGTGAATTAAAATACTGACGTTGCACATATAATACCTTGTGAAGTAGCACATCCCTATATAGACCATATAAGGGAGTACCCTTCCCTCTGGAAATAAGGAGGAGAAGGATCCAAGAAACTCTACACAACGTTAGCACATTTTCTTCTGGCGAATCGCTCCATGTTGTTATGAGTATACATGTCAGGGCCTGCAAGGCACGCCCTGACATTGACTGAAATCAAGTTAGCTGTTGGGAAGTACGAGTTCTCAATAGCGCCAAGGTTGGTGTTTGCCACGGATGGCACCATGCTTCACGGTTCCTTAAACTGCAACTTAATCGACATTCTTGAAAAGCTGGATACGGGAAGAAACATCGAAGGTTACACTAAAGAGGACTTGCATGCTAGTTCGTACAGGGATAACAGCTTACACAGAAGGTCTGACTTCAATGGCAAGAGAGTGCAGGCTTGTGAAAAAATGGACAGGATTAAGACTTGTCTGGCTGACCATTTGACCATATTGTTTCACCGCGCACATTTATTTGAGAAGTATTTATCTAAACAACTTGTTGTAAAGCCTAGAACTGGATACAGCTTGCAGTCTGATTCTGAAACATTGCTTGTAATCGCTAAGGTGACACGGAAGACTTTTGGCGATCAAGCCTTTTTCCATGCTGGACCAACAGTATGGAATGCTTTGCCATCTAGCCTTAGAAACTGTAGGAACATTGACTCTTTTAAAGTACAGTTGAAGACTCATCTTTTGAAGAAAGCTTCTAATTTGTAATTTTATATTCTTATTACTATTATTATTTCTTTCCATTTATTGTATATATATATATATTTATTTTCTTTACATATTGAAGAGCGCTTTAGAATATTTTAATAGTTAAAGCGCTATATTAAATGTAATAAATTATTATTATTAATTATTATTATTATTAAGTACACTGGTATTGTTGAATTGCGACATATCTTTGTCAGGTTAGTCAGTTTCAATTTTAAACTAAGAATAACCGCCGTTTAATCGCTGTCAGTATTAAAAGTGACAAAAATAGTTTTATAGTTAGGTGGGATATGCGGCAAACTCCATAAAGACAGTGGAGCAGTGGAACCGATATTACCAGGAAGCTTTGCGGGTAGAGGAAAGCTGGCCTGCTGGAAAGCATTTCAAGCTGAAGAAGATGCCGTCTATTGCACTTGCGGATCTGAGGACAACTGCGCAGGCTACATCAAGAGCTGTTGCTGTGATTGAGATCTTAGTCTGCCAGCTGTAGCAGACAAAGACTAGAATTTCTAGTGTGAAAGAACTGCTGAGGTGATTACCGATCTATCTGAAAGAAGGAAGCCCAATCTGAAAGACTTCCTCCAAAAAATAATAATTGAACGAGCGCAAATTGCGAGGACATTACCAGACTATGACATGACCCAATTACAAGGTACCAAACCCGGAGCTGCGCCATATATAGCAATAATCACACGCTGAAATCACCTGTTGATATTAATACGCCAACCAGAAGTGCATTGGTTCTTGCAACAAATATATTTTTTTAAATACATACCGTAAAATTCCGAAAATAAGCCCCTCCATGTATAAGCCCCTCAAACCGGTAACACAAAACACCCTCCGTTAAATCGCCCGTCCAAATATAGGCCCCCCGGGGGCTTGTACTTGGAAAATTGCCCACAAATACAAAGTAAAACAAAGCAAAACGGTAAATTTACTTCCAACTATGAGCCTAGCCCTATCGGTTTTCAAACGCAAATTTCCTTCCGTAGATAAGCCCCTCTGAATATAAGCCCCTCAAAAAGGGCCTTTGAAAAATATAATCCCCGGGGCTTATTTTCGGAATTTTACAGTATTTCTTGCTTCCCTCGTTCAGTACAAATTTGAATAATGACTGTAAACATGCAGTGATGTCTCCTTTGGAAGGAAAATGGACAAAGGTATTTTACTTGGATATTAAACTAACGTATTTAAGATTTTGTGGCAATGAAGCTAAGTAGAAACTGGGATTCTTTCAAGGTGAATGGGTTCCAGTAATGACATGCATGACTACAACCGGCAGCAGACGCAGTTCCCGGTGTAGTTAAGCCGGGCTGTGCTAAAGAGATTGATCTGTCTTGGATTAGGCAGGAAGTAAATGCAGTGATCTTTGCAGCTAAATTGAAGGTGGGGATGACTGAGCTTTGTGATAACATTACTGACAGCAATGAAGAAAACTCTAACGATGATGATGATTCTGATGATTCTGATAATGATGTTGATGACTATGACTTCGAGGAGGAGGGTGATGACTAGAACATCTCGATCTTGTCATGAATGTCCAGCCCTGGTAGTGAGGAAATCGCGTTTTCATTTGTTTTGTGTAGGTCATTGGAACGTACCTTGTTTTCAGGCTTCTGTAATAGCTTGGCCAGTTCTACATAACCTGAAAGGCACTTCAATAGTTGTTTTATTTTTCCTGTATTGACTACTTGCTATTAGTGGTTGCCAAACAGAGTTTTATGCTCAAGCCTCGTTTCCATGCTATCATAGACATGTGACCAGTTTAATTGCTTAACAGATGCGTTGTAAAGTCACATACAATAATATTATGTGTTATATGAGTTATAATGATAGCAATCTGTTGTCATTAAAGATGGTTTTCTAGTACTTTAAGGAGAAGCCTCGTTTCCATGCTATTGTGGTCACGTGACCACCTTAATTGCTTAAACAAATACGTTTTCAAGTTAGATACACTCTTGCGTGTTATAGGAGTAATTCTGATGGCAATCTGTTGTCATTGAAGATGCTTTTCAAGGGCTATAATTAAGGTGAAGCCTCTTTTCCATGCTATCGTGGTCACGTGACCAGATTAATTGCTTGACAGGTACATTTTCAAGTCAGATACACTATTATGTGTTCTGGGGGAATTCTGATAGCAATCTGTTGTCATTAAAGGTAGTTTTCAGGTACTTTAAGGTCCAGCCTCGTTTCTATGCTAGAATTTAAATATCACATTTTAAATCCACCCTTATGGCCATCGGTGCAAGTTAAAAAATTGCTGACAACATTTTTTATGTTCCTTAGAGTCCCTTAACACATCTAGATAGGTGGCTTGCTTTTTTCACAAAATTCCCACCGGATAACCGGCAGGACTTTTCCGCGGGTGGCGGGTGGCGGGTGACGGGTGACGGGTGACGGGTAGCGGGTGGCGGGTGAGGGGTAGCGGGTGACGGGTGACGGGTGGCAGGTGGGTTAAAAATATATATGAAAATAAAATATTATAATAAAATATTATTATTGATGATATAACTGTATGTTGTAATTTTAAAATAATTTCAACGTTTACGTACTAGATACTAGACTCCAAATAAAAGTATTGTCTTGTTTTGTTTTATCTACTTACGCGGACTAAAAATGGGAAAAAAACCCCGAGAAATCATGCCTGTGAAAACAGTCACCTCTCCCTGCTCCGCACCGCAAGTGACGTGTCGTCAGGCTACACGCGGTGTGTCAAATGAAAATGGGCTATGTCAAGCAAGACACATGGCACGTGTCGATCTTGTTTGTCTAGTTTGCTTTTTCTTCCACATCAAGACGAAAGATGATAGCACTTCCCGAACTGTTTAGCCGTGTTTATGACAGACTGCAAGAGATTCGGCCTCCCGTGTCGTAGCTCAGTTTTTGCCCTAGTATGCGGCATGATTGCCATCCTAATCAGTATTTTTAAGTAGTATTTAAAAAATGCAGATCGTTTTTGTATATATATACAACGAGATCAATAATATTCGCGTCCAAGACGCCACATGCGGCGACAATGGTCCATGCTGTGGCAAAAACGTTCTTGCTCCTTCTCTAGTACGCATTAACATTGACAGCTTTGTTGCTTTGGCCTTACGAAAATTTCTTTGTTTTCTCGAAATAGACATTTTGTTCATTTTAAACTACAAGTCGGGAACCAAATTGGCAAAGATTTATCCCACGGGCAATGCAATGTTTATCCCAACTTATAACAAAAGACACTGTTCAAACATGTCGAGAAGAGAATGCGATCTTACTTGTCTGGTCGAAGGATAAATATTTATGAGTTCCTCAAGCTATCTCGTGCATGCGATATCGTGTAGAATAATACTGCTAAAATATCGCTTTTTGTAATGTTTAGTATTTGTTTTCTTTTTTTGGTTTCCCCTTTTTATGTTTATTTTTTTATTTTTTGCGGCCTGACCCACCACCCGCCACCCGCTACCCGTCACCCGCTACCCGTCTACCCGCTACCCGCCACCCGTCACCCGTCACCCGCGGAAAAGTCCTACCGCCAGATAACAGAGTTACATCATGTGCAGCTCTCAAGTAATCATTAATTTCAATAAAATTACACATCTCTGGTTTTTTTAATTCTCTTCTTGTTAAGACTTCATGATGTGAAGTCCCTACCATATTTCAGTCGTAACCTGACAAAATTCTGTTCTCTTGAACAGTAGTATTCTAAATAACCTCTCCAACCTCCAGTAGGTAGAATAGTCAATGAGCATTTTTAGCGAAGATGGTCCCACATAGCTGAAGCCCATCCTCAGTTTCAGTGAGATAAGAGTACAGTTGAGGTCAGACTGATTTCTTCAACATTAGATTCTTTGGTAACTCCAGGGTTGTCAGAAAGTTTTGAAGTAGATGGTTGAGTTGTCAAAGTAAAAAGTCAGTCTAGGGATATTTTTATTTAAAAAAACCCAAACTGTAAAGAAATGCCAAGCAGAGTAGCAGGTTGACACTAACCAAGTAGGTGGCGAATTTCGCCAGCAACCGGCTACTTTTGACAACCCTGTTTGCAACCGGCCTAGCAGTACTTTTCACCAGCTGAGTGTATAAACTGTTTTCTTAGCAATCAGGAATATGAAACAAACTGAATGAATGAAACCCAAATCAAAGTTGAATATGTCACCACCGCTTTTCCACCGATTAAGTCTCTAACAATTATCACTTACTACAGTTTCTTTGTTCATCCTCTCCATTAGGACAGTCATTTGTGCCATCGCATTGTTTAGCTTTTGCAATACATGCCAATGTGCTCCCACATTGGAATTCATCTGGTCTGCAGGTTCCTGTTCAGACAAAATTTATGAATGGACATTACATTAACAAGCTCAAAAAATGGATTCTACATGACCATGACAGAGCCTGAGTTTTACACTTACCACAGCTTGTTTCATCTGATCCATCCTGACAATTTTGGGTTCCATCACATCTCTCGGTATTTGGTATACAGCCACCACTTTGACAAGCAAATTGGCTGCTTGTGCAGTTACTTATTGTTGCTAAAAGAAAACATCTAAGTTAGATTGTTGCTTCATTAATTCCTGAAAACTAGACCTAGAACTAGACACCATGCCATCACCTTCACAGCTGTATAATGACCAACAGTTATAGCTATCATTAATTTGGAAAAACATACAAGCAGGAACGTAACGTTAATTAAGAAATATGTTTTTCCATAATATTATATTTGCATAGTTTAAGGTTTACTTTCAACAAAGTTTTTGGTCTTATTACTATTTCACTTTGTTGAAAAGCAAGAAAAATATTGTTCTTAACTTCCCTGGATCAACAGAACTTCATCATGCTTCCAGGAAAACATGGCCAATGACCAAAAAATATAACATGCTGATCATTGTCAAAGAGTGTAGTAAGTCTAACTTACTGCAGGATTGCTCATCAGATCCATCAGGGCAATCCTCTTCTCCATCACAACGCCAGTGACCTTGGACACAGGTTCCTTCAGTACAACGGAACATTTTTCCTGAGCAAACTGGGATAGGACGTATTGTAGTCAAACATCTTTTCTCATCAGAACTATCGGCACAGTCTGGGTCACCATCACACTTCCACCGTGATGGAATACAGTTCTGATTGTCACAAGTAAACTGGTCATCACTGCAGGTCTTGGCATCTACCAGAAAAAGAAAGGCAGAAAAGTCAGACAAGTGACATATTATAAGTGAAAATATCATTTATATAATTGCTCTCAGTGATACACCAAGGACTTTTATCATTACACCTTCTACACCATGACCCCATGCCCCAAACTGGAAGGGTGCAATTGGCCTGGTAATTATAAGCTATGACTAAAAGGAGGGTGTTACGAAAACTAAGACCCTCGAAAACTAAGACCTATAAAGACCTAAGACCCGTCTTAGTTTTCCAGATTACGAAAACTAAGAGCCCCTAAAATTGAATCCGTCGAAATATAAAGTCAAATTATTGTAACCGAAATAGGTCTGATCTGTCAAATTATATCATGTTCGATCCTTTCCACTGAGTTTTAGGTCAAATTTAACAGTAAATTTAGGGGTCTTAGTTTTCTTAATTACGAAAACTAAGACCCCCACCAAAACAATCTCTAAAATTTCTACAAAGTCGAATTACGACCGTTTGAAGACTATAACCTGTAAGACAAACAAAAACTACTATCATACGCGTACTGATCTACGATCCGCTAACAATTTGAAGACTCGCTTTAAAAAGAGGACCAAAGCCATAGACTTCCTACGTATCTATTGTACACTGAAAATATGCCTTACCCCTATTGGTCGTTAATTTTGTTGTTTATCCTTTAAATCATGAAATTGGCTTTCCACTGAGAATGATGTTTTTCTTTGTGTCTCTGTGATCGAGATTGCGTTACCTGTAACTATCACCTGAGGGGGTTTGTGTCCAGCGGTTGTCGTGGACAAGCAGGGAGAGCGGGGAGGGGAGCGGGGGAGGGAATTGCTAGTCTCGGGGGGTCACAAAACTTCTCGCGCGAGTCGATGCTTTGCTAGTACAGGAAATTCATTCACTCATTCGTTTTTTTTTAAATTATTTCATGAGTGATTTTAGCGATTATCCCTCACAGACTATTTCTCCTTGCCCCCCACCCCTACCCCTTAACTAACTTTGCATTGTAACCCAGTGATCTCCGGGGTGGCAACGATAAAAACAAACGCTAGAAAAACGCAATGTAGCATATTCTCCATTTTTCGCCCTTTTTATAAAAGTACTTTTCTATCTATGACCTGGCCAGAAAAGGAAAAAAAATCCGTATTTTTGTGTTATGTTTAACTGATAACGCCGCTGACCACTTAGCGATCAGGCATTGAGGTCGCAGCGACATGTCAGCCTGCAACGAAGACAAAAATCCATCTCCAGTGGAAAACCAATTTTATGACTTTAAGGATAAACAACCAAAATTATGGGGTAATAAGGCATATTTTCAGTGTACAATTATTTTCAGTGTACAATTATACGTAGGTAGTCTATAGCTTTCATCCTCTTCTTAAAGCCACAATATTGATAATGTATGTCTGCAAATTGTTAGAAGAAGCGGATCGTCTAGCAGGCGTATGATAGTAGTTTTTGTTTGTCTTACGGATTATAGTCTTCAAACGGTCGGAATTCGACTTTGTAGAAATTTTAGAGATTGTTTTGGTGGGGGGTCTTAGTTTTCGTAAAGAAAACTAAGAGGGGTCTTAGTTTTCGAAATTACGAAAACTAAGACCCCTAAATTTACCATTAAATTTGACCTAAAACTCGCTGGAAAGGATCGAACATGATACAGGGCTTCTGATATTTCGCGGAAAAAAAAGCAAAATTTCGCGGCATTTTCAGGGGCAAATTCGCGGAAAAATCGGCCGATTTCGCGGGATTTTCGCGGGAAAAAAGTCAAAATTCGCGGAAGAATCGGCCGATTTCAGGCGATTTTTGCAGGAGAAAAGTCAAAATTCGCAGGAAAATCGGCCCATTTCGAGGGATTTTAGCGGAAAAGAGTCAATTTTCGAAGGATTTTCGGGGGCAAATAATTTCCTGAGAATTTCTTAGGAAAATCGGCCGATTTCACGAGAAATTTCGGGGGGGAAACTTCGCCAAGAAACAATCAACAAAAAACAGCCGATTTCGCTGGGTTTTTTTTGGCAAATTTCGCTATAATCGATCAATTTTGCGTCGATATGACCAGCGCTGGTGAACGTTTTTTTTAACACGGATAATCATTTGCTCTTTCAACAACAGTTCGCTCAAGAAATAAGCGCATGTTAAAGCTATCAACATTATGGTTAGTGCCCAGTTTTTCGCAACGTTCATCTAAAAACGCCTGGTAGTTTTGGGACGTTGTTTACTCTTTGCAGTGATGAAGTTTCAAGCTAAATTTGGACGTTTGGGGTGAATAAAACCGGTCTAATAGCCAAGATAAGTATTTGGAAATATTTCTGACGGATTTCGCGGTATTTCGCGGTTTTTTGGGAAATTCGCGGGATTTCGCGGAAATACCTGAATTTCGCGGGTCCGCGACCGCGTGAAATATCAGAAGCCCTGATGATATAATTTGACAGATCAGACCTATTTCAGTTACAATTTGACTTTATATTTCGACGGATTCGATTTTAGGGGGTCTTAGTTTTCGTTATCTTGAAAACTAAGACAGGTCTTAGGTCTTAAGTCTTAGTTTTCGAGGGTCTAGTTTTCATAACACCCACTAAAAGGATGCTTAATGCAGTTACTTTGCCCCATGGGTGGAAAATTAGTAACATGGGAGAGAGAGAATAAATCTGCCATGTAATTTTTAACAAAGACAATTGAGATTCCCTTCTTCCTGCACATTCAAGATAAGCAAAGTTTTTTCAAACATATCTCACCGCATTGCTGACCAGTCTCATCTGAGTTATCTCCACAGTCATCATCTCCATCACACAACCAGGAACGAGACACACACCCACCATTGTCACAGGTAAATTCAGAGGATGGACAAGTTCTAGAAGCTAAAAAAGATTGACTCAGTAAATACCCTTTCAACTGATACATAAAAAATGTAATAATTTTTGCTATCAAATGAGGCTGTGATGAGTACATGATATAAAGAATTATGCAGATAAAGGAGGGTGTTAGATGTATTGAGGCCACAACACCCTTCCTCACCTAAATAAAAACTAAGAAAGAAAGAAAAATTAACTTATAATTAAACTTTTTAAACTCTGCATTTTGTACATGTGCATACCCAGCTGGAGCATTAAAACCAGTACACGTATAGTGTTTGCCTTGTTTAAGCGAAGGGTTGGGTTTAGTTCTCTTTTTTTTGTTAGATGGTGACAAGAAAACGGCAAGACTAGCTTTAAATTTTGTTTTTTTGAGGAGACGTCGCAGGGTTACGGCTTTAACAAGCAATATAAAGAAACATGAAACAAAATCCAGTTCACCCAATACCTTGATCTTCATATCTGTGGCAATAAAAAATACTAAAAATACATCATGTGATGTATGTTTTACATACATTCTCCACAGAGAGCTGCTTCTTCATCTGAACCATCTCCGCAGTCATCTTGTCTATCACACTTCCATTTGCCTATGATGCATTTGCCATTTTTACATTTGAATTCATTTGGACCACAGGTTCTATTTTGATCTAGAAAAATAGAGTAGTTTGTTTAAAAAAATAGCTAGGACATCTGAGGATCTTTTTTTAAAAAAAAGTTCTATCATAATAACACATACAAACATTCGTTACACCATTGTAGGAGTTGGTCAGTATATATAAAAAACAGATTCACCAGACTGCAGATGTAAACTAGCTATTATATAAAGGGAAGACTGCAGACCAAGAAGTAAAAAGCTGCAAAACCACACCCACTTAGTATACTGTCCTAGACTTTTTCAGTATTAGCACAGATTAACAAGAGAATCTCACATTGGTATAGACCTTTGATTACAAGCAACTCAAAATGTCAAGCATCATCATCCTCACATTTTCATAATATGATACGACTACAAAACTTTTACCTCACGTCACTCCTTCCGTTTTTTAGTTGCTCATTTTATAGGTAGCAACTTAACACAAAGCTGATGCATTTGCAATGAGAGAGTCAAAACCTAGGACTTGCCTGATCTAGAATTGGTCTAAGCAAACAAAAATTTGCAATCATCTGTTCACTTGAGAATCACATACAAGAAGTTGAGCAAAATTATAGCATGTGACCTTCACATAGGCTGAGCGCTTCCTAAAGTATATATATGCAAGGAATGCAGGAGATTCTCCCCCTCTCTGTCTACTTGTGCTTTCTCTCTCTCAGCTCATTTCACAGGCTATGGAATGCTCATGATTTCAAACAGAGAAACTTGGTTGCAGGATACAAAAAATATCTTTATTTGTTAGGCTGTCAAGCAAATATGCCATAACATTGCATACGCACTCTCATCACTGTCTCCTCCAAAGACACCCATCTCAATGAACTCAGCACAGAGATGTCTTTTAATTTGTAGTAAATGTGATAAAAGGAATAATCTAAACAGAGACATTTAAGTAATCTCCGTTTAAGTTAGATCTGTTATTTAAACTAATATATATCTGTGACTGAGAAATCCATTTCTCTCTCAAGCTCGCATGCAAGCAGCAACACTATATCGCAGAACGAGCCAAACAATCAGGTCCAGCACCCAAGGAGGACTACTATATGAAAGTGACAGGGATGCTTGGAATTTGGTCTCACTTAGTGCGTTCTGGAACAGACAGGCAATATTATCGGCTGGTGCATAAAGATATATGTGACAGTGAAAGGCAAAACGGAATACCGTTCGAATGGGAAAAATGCACGGATAATGAACAGTCAATTTAATGAACAGTCTACAAAGCATTTGACTAACCATTTGAATGGATGAATAAATTATTTGAACGGATTGGCAAACCATTCCAACAGATGAATAAATTATTAGAACAGATATTGGCAAACTGTTCGAACGGATGAATAAAATTGTTGAACAGATTGGCAAACCATTCGAACAGATTTGTTAAAGACACTGATAAACTGTCTGCAAAATAATCATTCTGAACGGAACTCAGGCGCTGTTTAGCCGTTTTTTTAGTCCGCGGGTGGCGGGTGGACGGGTGGTGGGTGACTGGTGACGGGTAGCGGGTGACGGGAGATGGGTGGTGGGTTAAAATATATATGAAAATAAAATATTATAACTCGTTATAGTATAATTGATATTGATATAACTGTATGTTGTAATTTTAAAATAATTTCAACGTTTATGTACTAGCTACCAGACTCCAAATAAAAGTATTGTCTTGTTTTGTCTTTTGTTAAATTACGCGGACTAAAAATGGAAAAAAAAAAACGAGAAATCATGCCTGTGAAAACAGTTACCTCTTCTAGCTCCGCACCGCAAGTGACGTTTCGTCAGGCTACACGCGGTGTGTGAAATGAAGGCTATGTCAAGCAAGACACATGGCACGTGTCGATCTTGTTTGTCTAGTTTGCTTTTTCTTCCACATCAAGACGAAAGATGATTGCAGTTCCCCAACTGTTTAGCCGTGTTTATAACAGACTGCAAGAGATTCGACCTTCCGTGTCGTAGCTCAGTTTTTGCCCTAGTATGCGACATGATTGCCATCCTAATCAGTATTTTTAAGTAGTATTTAAAAAAATGCAGATCCTTTTTGTATATATATACACAACGAGATCAATTCCCGTCCGAGACGCCACATGCGGCGAAAACGGTCCATGCTGTGTCAAAACCGTTGTTGCTCCTTCTCTGGTACGCATTAACATTGACAGCTTTGTTGCTTTAGTCTTAGGAAAATTTCCTTGTTTTCTCGAAGTAGACATTTTGTTCATTTTAAACTAAAAGTAGGGAACCAAATTGGCAAAGATTTATCCCACGGGCAATGCAATGTTTATCCCAACTTATAACAAAAGAACAAACGCACTTGTCAAAAATCTGAGACACTGTTCAAACATGTCGAGAAGAGAATGCGATCTTACTTGTCTGGTCACAGGATAAATATTACTATTATTATTAATTTTATGAGTTCCTCAAGCTATCTCGTGCATGCGATATCGTGTAGAAGAATATTGCTAAAATATCGCTTTTTTTGTAATTTTTGTTATCGTTTTTCTTTTTTTGGTTTCCCCTTTTTATTTTTATTTTTATTTTTTAAGGCCTGACCCACCACCCGTCACCCGCCACCCGTCATCCGTCACCCGCGGAAAAGTCCTGCCGAGTAAATTAATTGTCTCTGAAATAACTGCATTTGTTCTGAATGGACTGAAACTGGCATGTTGATCCGTTATTTCAGTTGATGCTTGATAATAATATTTTCGGGTTGTTTGAGAAACACTTCTTCTACTCTTGTGATCGAGAAAGGAAAGCCTATTTCAATCGATCTCTGTCTCATCAATGGCAGACATGACAGCTTTTAGTCTTACTATGGTATCAGCTGCTGCGCAAAAATTCATGTTCAACTTTTCAATTCAGCTTCCGTCTTATAAAATAACTAATACGTTTGAAACATTTTTTTGGCCAGTGCATGATAAAACCTCAGATTTTCTCAATAGTAAGGGGAGCTCAGATGTTTGTAAAACCTTGTAACCTGATGCCGCTCGGAGATAAACATTACTAATGCGTGTGCAGCCACTTTGTTATTGCATGACATTCACTTCAAGGAAAACTCCTCAGCTCATTCATGGGAAAACAAATGATGCTAAAATCATTTTATTCATTACAACTATAATTAAGTTACAAAATCATTTATCATTTTTGTAAAAATAGTTCGAACGGACATCTTAAGCGTTCAAAAGGATGTCGCATTGGTTTGAATGGATACTAAATTTTTTCGAACAGATATAGGCAAACTGTTCAAATGGATGCTAATTTTTTTTAAACCGACATGGAAACCGTTTAAACAGTTGATCGATCGCTTTGAACGGCTTTTATAAAGTGTTTGAACGGATAAAAAATGCTTATCCTCCTGAAACGGATAACTGTTAGTGTCCGTTTTGCCTGGAATAAAGCCCCAGCCCCAGCCCCACCCACTTCTTCCCCTCATACCAACCCCCCTCCCCTTGTTTTCTCTTCTGATCCCGGTTAAGCATTCATGCGGCCAAATCTCTTACTTCATGAAACAAATGAAAAATACACCAGGAAAACTGCCTGCATTTCAATCCTAATATGTCTTGTCGTACCTCCCGTAACTTTAAGATCTTACACTCTGCCACTGCAAGCAGGGCTTGAGCTAGGATTTGATCACCGGGGGACAATTTGTTCCCTTGGCTAAAATTTCGGGGGACATTTTTATTTTAAAGGGGGACAGAAATTTGTACACCCTTATGCTGATGCAAAGGGGTTTGTCTTCTTAGATTTCCAACAAAAATAGCAGAACATCGCCTCCTTTTCATGGCGCAACCATGTGTGATCTCGTGATTTTTTCGGTTCCTTCGATCCTAGCATCCGTTTCTTCCTGATTACTAATACACTGTTCTTCTACTGTTACATCATCTTTCTCTGATTCACTCTGGCTTTGATTTGGAGCGAAAAAGCGTTCTAATGTTCGAACACGTTTTCGATGTGACATGTTAACAATTGCCAGAATGACCTTTAA